GGCACGCAGCTGGGAACGAGGAACTTTACTCGGGCTCGCAGGAGAGCGCAGGGTTGCATCCCGGTACGCTCCCCGGCAGACGAGAGGGCGCACAGGACACGCTCGCACCGTTCCAAAGCGGCTCCGGGCAGTGCAGATGGGTCCCTCCTCTCCCTACATGTGCCAAGAGATTGCTACGCTACGTTATAGTATCTGAACTATTCAAAGGCAAGTTATTAATTATAAATATAAAAAGCAGTTACAGGGGGTGTGTTTAGAATGATTAATAACCCAACACCTGAAGCTAAGCTCAAAGAGACTCCCTGCACTAAAATCCTAAACACCAGTCACCCTTCATTTGCACCACACCAAAAAGCTGATCTGAAATTGTGGCAAAATACATATAAAGGGAGGAAAATACCAAGCACAGAGCAACATGAGATCATCACCACTCAGGAGATGTGGGGAAGATGTAGTCTAAGAACCAGACCCTTGGTAAGGTAGGGCTTGTTAGCTTTGCTTCTCAGGTGTACCACAGATCTGGGTTCCCCTCTCTACAACACATACAAAAAGCTTCTTCCAAATTCCCAGAACTGACAGCTCCAGCTCTAAACATGAAACCAAAACACGTATTAAGTGCTCCTGTGTTGTAAAACGATCTCTCAACTGCAATTATTAAGATCCAAGATGCTGCAACTGTTATTTTATTTTCCCCCTAACTAGCTGAAGGTACCACAGCTTAGGGCTTTCTTCCTTTCTTGCGCAGGGACTGCCCCTCTCCTGAAAAGGCAATAAAGCGGCTTCCAGACTCATCCTGGGAAAAGAAAGGGAAAAAAGGTTTTACCTCTTGGCTCACTGCTTGTGTGTGGTGAAAGCTGAACAATTGTTAGCAAGAATACTCCATCAGAGCAGCCACTGACTGTAGACATTTCACATCCCTAATCTAGATAAAAATCACTTTCCTCCTGAAAATAAAGTAGCAGCATTTTGGTGACCTTTCAGCCAGCTGGCTGAATAAACTGACAGCAGGCCAATCTCTTGCCATCAGTAACAGGGACATCAGAGGCTGCTTCATGTGACTCAAACATTTTAAACTACTGCCACTTATTAAAGAAAGCATGCTGTAAAAAAAAAACAAGGGGAAAAAGAGAGGGACCACAAACTTGGATCTTAGTTCTAATGTCCTGATTCTGTGCAAAACTGGGGAGGATTCAGCTTTATTTACCTCTTCCACCTTCTTGACCAGTGGACGTGAATTCCTAATGAACGTGATTCTACCGATCTTGAAATCATAGTTGGGAATTCCTCTGGAAAAGAAGCATAAAAATATTATGTTTATATACTGTTGAATCTGACACAGAGAGACCTCTTCTGTGTCTGTCAGTGTAACACCAACACTGACTGCATTTTCATTTCTAAATAATTCCAGAGTTAAACCACTGAATTATAATCTGAAGAAGCAAATAATCAGATACTGGAGTTGTTGTGGAAGGTTGGCCACAGGCATGTTTCCATCAGCCTGTGGATAAGAAAGTCTATTTTCTAAGGCAAACTCATGACAAAATGAGTTTGTTTATATTGCAGGAGCAGGGAAAAAAACCAAACTCTGCCCAAACACTGATCCTTCACTGGTTTACAAGTGAATGATGCAGACATACCTTCGGATGTCCCCTGGTTTAATTGGTGAGGGACTGGGCTCCACACCTTTCTTCTTGCCATCCAATCTGTTCCCAGATCCAGAGAATGCCTGTGGACACAAAGCCAGTTTTAACTGAACTCCTGGCATTTGAAAGCACACTGCACAAGGATGTTTTATCTGTAAAATCTTACAGCAATTTTTATTTAGTTTTTCAATTCAGCATGCTTCTTTGTGGTACATAGAAGCTGATGAATTGTGGGTGTAGGGGTCTGTCTCAGTCTCCCATCTGCCCTTTGCAGAGAAGGCCGTGCTGCACCTGGCTGTGATTACACAAAACAGTCCCAGGCACTTGCCAGTTAAATAACAAGCATCTCTAAGAACAGGTACCAATATTTTGCAGTTGTTCAGCACAATTTTCCCTCACCATTTTACAGCATTCAGAAACCAGCAGAAACAGGGCACTTACACGAAATCCTATATCGCTCACATATCCACTGTGGTCTGTCTCCACATCCTGAGAGGGAAAAAACAAATTCATTTTGTCTCTGTTCTCACATGCACATGACATGAAAACAGTTCCAAGTATTTCTGACCAAACAAAACTTCAGAACAATCACTCTCCCAAAACATCAATTGGTAAACAGCAGTCCCCTAAATAACACATGCAAAAGCTTCTGGTAAGCAAAATTTCCCCCTAGGAACTTGTTTAAATAAAAAAATGTATGTTGGCACTCCCCCCACAATCAATAGTGACTTCTAGGGAATGCATTTTGGAAGAACAAAAGTTTAACATACTGCAGACTCTTCATGTTGTGCACTTCTTTCTGGTTCTTTATATCCCAAAGGAGCATCAAAATCCACCTATTTACACAAGAAGCATGAAAAAAACTATGATTAATATTTTTCTTTAAATCATAAGCTTTATACTACTATTCTTCAAAACTCCATGAACAATTATCACTACATTTGATCTAAAAAGAACTAAGGTTTGGTTGTTAAACATTTTAACTCAGAAGTAAAAAAGACCAAGCCTCCTAGAAATTAACCTTAGCATGAAATGGAAACAGAGCAGTAAAACAGCTCCACAATATCACTGGAGTGTGAGTAAAGACAAGGCTATTAAATAAAACTCAGATGAAACATGCCAAAGCTAAACATTAAATTCTGGGCTCTGCAGTCACCTGATGTACATGAAGTGCCAATGAGGATCACAGATGGGGTTACCAAGGCACCTGAGCACTCCCAAGTGAGTCCTTGTCCCTACCCCAGGGACTGCACCTTTCTTGCAGCACCAGCTGGGCTGGGTGTGCAGAGCTGTCACTGCTCAGGTGCCCTCTCCTCTGGGGGGACACAGCCAGGGCAGACTTTCCCCATCAGCCCTGACTTACGTTCATGTCACACTCTATGATGGACACAGCCTTATCTGGTTTGGTCTCCATCACCCGAAGCTCATAGATCTGAAACAGAGACATTTGAAGATTGCACTGTGTGTAAGGAAAGCACATCTAAACCTTTCCCTCCAGACCTGAAGGAAGTATTCCTTAGGTGGAGGACTCGATACTGCAGAGTCTTTAGAGAATTGAAAAGCAAAAGTTTTTAACTTAGAAGCCAGAGAACTGATTACTGCACCTTGCTGCACTTACTATACTTTAATCTGCATTTTTGAAAACAAATTCTGAATTTAGGATAAATTCCTTCCTTTGACTTGTGAAACTTTCAACAGCAGACACATTTTTTTTCTTGTGAGTCCAAAGAAACATAAACAGCAGCTCAGAAAAAGACTTAGCTGACTCCTTTTTCCCTCCAATAGAAAGCCAACTGTGAAATCTGTCATGTGGGATTACTTGTCCAAACACTGCACAGCTCTGGGTCGATTGTTTTAGTACCAATATCCAACAAAGTCTGAACTTAGTCTACAGCCCTCAACCCTACACTGTACCTTTTCATTGTAGTTGATGGCAATCACATCCCCAGTAGTTAGACAGGCAAAGTTCCTCAATGCATTTTCCAGTCTTTGGAGTATGTTAAGATGAAATATTTGTTTTCAGCAAAACATCAAAGCCTTAAAGTCATCATACATTTTAAGCCAACACCCCTCCTTCTTCAGAGCACACTTTGTACCAACAGTTGACCACATCTCTGTACATGAGCTCCCCGTCCCTTTTGTTTGCAGAAGGAGCAGCAGTGGCCATGGACTACAGGCAGTGTATGAGCCACACATGAAAAGCTCGCTCTGTTTGATATTCCAATTTGGAAGAATTTTTTTTCCCCTTATTCCATAATTGAATAGGAAGGATACACAGCTTTGGGATTGGTGATGTCAAGAAAATCTGGACTTTGTGGCTGGAATTTTGAGTAAGTAGCAACTTGCAGATTCACACTCTCCACTTGCACCAGGCCTCCTTCTTCGAGCAGCAAATTCTGCATCATCTGCAAGAATGGAAACAAACACACAGAGCCCCATCAATGTGTCTGATGTTTTCAAATCTCTCTCCTGTACATATCAGCTCTTGTGTATATTCAATTTCAGCAAGAACAGTCAGGTGCATGTCAAAAGCAGTCTGCTTTGCTAAGTTAAATTTCTGCAGAAGGGAGCCTGAGCCAGAACTGAAGGCTGTAGTAGCACATGACCAGCAGAGACAGGCACAGGAAACATTCCACCTCCTTATTAGTAAACTTGGCAACTTGCTAATCCTACTTTTCAGGTTCTGACAGTCCAGCATGAGGCAGCTCACCCAGTGTGGAAGGTAACAGATGCCCTCATCAGCCACAAACTCCAGCACTCCACAGTGAGTCATTCTGTCTGAGTTCTTGTTGGTCAGCTTGAACAGCATGGGGTAAGTAATATTAAGGCGGCCTAGTGAGAAAGGAGAAAAGAGTTTTGTTTGTTAAAAGCCCCTAGCACATTTTTGAAGCTTTCAGAGATCAAACATCAGCAAGAGAATGGGCCAGACCATAGGAGAGGATTCCCCTCACACCAGTATCCCAACTGCTCAAAGCTACAGAGAAAGCAGGTACACAGATCCAGGGTGTCATTGCATTCAGGACTTTAAATGCTCAGGAAGCCCAACACTTCAGATGGCTGTGCTTGAAGGCAGACAAGACCCATGAATTCTGACAGAGAAAATACCTTCAAAATCCATTTTTATACTAATTATTATCACAGTGTCTATTTGTGTCTTAAATAGATAACTAAAATACTGTGGTATTTGCCTACACACTTGCTCCTATTTCTGATGTTGTTATTCCAGAATAAAGTATTCACTTACTGAGTTGATCCAAAGCTGATGGTGGCATAATTACTGCAGAAATGAATAAGAGTGTAAAATTAGGAAAAGTACATCCATACAAGAGTACATAACACACAATTTTATTCTTTCTTTCTCTAAAATCTCTTTCAAAAAAAGGGCAGCTCCTAAAATATGAAAATCCAGTTTTAGACAGTTCAGTAGAATCAGTCATGACAAATATCTTGCTATGTGGAGATTTCAGAATTATAATCAGGGAAAAACAAAAGAGAAGACAAGGTTTTACATTACTTTTACTTAAGAAAATTTTTCCCAAAGCTAATTTTATTTGTTAGGGGTCACAGGTGCTCTTCAATCCATACCAACTCAAAAAAACATAGCATCATTCAGACAGCCTGAAAATTAAGTTGGCCAATCTTTTACTTTCTTTATACAAATTAAATGAAATACGACACGGTGGGGAGGAGAAACTCCTTAATCATAAACTTCCGTGGCTCACACTAGATATAAGATTGTAACAAGAAACTTGATGGAAGAAGTCTCTCTCCTTGTAATACTCATAAACCCCGACTCACTTGGTAAACACTTTTAATTACCGAGCAGTGCAAGGGAACATGATTCATCCTCCTTCCTCAGAGCCCGACCCAGGCTGCTGAGCACTCTGTCACCGTGTTTTCAAATGTTCGCGCTGCCTCGGCCAAAAGCTGCGATACTCGACACTATTCACAAACACTCTGCCAACAGTTTATTAGTCAAAATAAAACATGCACATACTCTTCCCGCCTTTCTCCACATCTGACCTGTCATTAGGTCCGGCAAGCATGGATACCGAGAAGCAGCGGTACTGGGTTGAAAAACGGTTCTGAAACACCCGGGGGATGGGGTGGTCAAACATATTAAAGGAGAACTAGAGAGAAAAAACAACACAGAGAAGAACGCGACCATCAGTATCTACAGCACACCGAGTGTCACCGCACCCACTGAGGGCTCCTGAAGTGACCCGGCCCCTCCCCGGCTGCCCCCGCTCTCACCATGGCTGCGGCGGCGGCGGGCGCTCGCTCGGGGCGGCCGGGCCGGGCCGGGCCGGGCCAGCGCCGCTCGTTCGCCTCACGGGCTGGGCTGGGCCCCACCCACGGCCCCGCCCCTCCCAGCGTGCCGCGCGCGCCGCCCGCCCACCCGGCCATTGCGGGTGAGGGCGGAAGCCCGGCCCTCGCGCCCTCCGAGGCGGCCATCGCTGGGAGCCCCTTCTGCCCGCTAGGCTTCTCTTTGGTCACCGGGTGCTGGCGCGGCCCTGCCGCTTCTTCTTTGACTTCCGTTTATTGGCAAAACAAGCAACTCGCCCTTAGCAAAGATGGCGGACACAACGACAATACCCAGCAGGGTGCTTCCGGCTGGAGCTCTCTCGGGATTGGCCAGCAGCGCTGATCGTCACCGCCGTCTCCGCATCCTATTGGCGAAGCCCCGGAAAAGATTGGGCAGATCGCCCTGCAGAGGCGGGGTGAGGGCGTTCCTATTGGCCAGCGCCTCTTGAGGCGCAGACCAATGAGACGCGGCGCTGCTTTGGCGCCCAGTTTGAGCGGGCGAGGCCTGCGGCTGCCGCCCGTTCCCGCCGCGCGCGCCCGTTCCCGCCATGTTCGTGTCCGACTGCCGCCGGGAGTTCTACGATGTGATCGTCACCCAGGTGCGGGCAGCGCGCCGTGATCGGCCGGGGCGGCACCCCGAGCGGCCTCCCCCGGGGCTCTCCCCGCTTTGGGCTGCCGCGCTTCCCGCCGCCTCACGGCGCAGGGTCGGTGTGGGGCGTCCCCGGTCTGCCCACGGCGGCTGAGGCGAACCGGCTGAAGGGCTGCGGTGCTCTGGGGCGGTCCCGGCCCCGCTCCGGGGGCTGCGGGGCGGGGGTCGGCGGCGGGGAGCACCGGCCGGGCGGCCGCGCTGAGGGCGGGGGTCCGGCGGTCACCCGGGTGGTCAAAAATCCCTTTCCCGGGTGGTCAAAAATCGCTTTCCTGGGTGGTAAAAATCCCTTTCCCGGGTGTTTTTTCCCTTTCCTACCCTTGGGAACCGGGACAAAGCAGCGTCAGCGCCGTGAGGTCTCGCCAGGAATTTCACTGACTGTTCGCCTCCTTCTGCAAAAGTGTTTTTGTGTGTTCTGGATCTCATGCTTAACAATGACATCTCTGAACTTTAGTTTAGTTTAGTTTAATATCTTTCTAGCCGTTTTGGTATTTTTTTGCCCAGACACTAAATACTGTTTTCTGCGATCTTTAATGATTTTCCTGCAATCATGTAGCACATCTGTTTGCCACTTGTATTCTGAACCCAGGGTTTGCTTAACTCCGTTCCCTGTGGTAAGGTGGTGAAGCTTTTGTTGGACAGTCTTTGGACATTTCTACCAATGAAATTATATTATGGACTGTGCAAATGGAAGCATTTGCCTTAATTTCTCCAGCTGTGAGCAAAATCTCAAAACACCCTTTCCCTAAGACCTAAAACAACATTCACAAAACAAAGAAAAGCTGAACCAACCAACCTGTCCCTCCCTCCCAAAAAATAACACCAGCCAACTTTGATTTATGTGAAAGTATTTCTTTCTTGAATTGCCCTGCTCTTAATTTTGCTACAGATTTTTTTTTTTAGTTAAAATTGCAGATCTCTGTTGAAAATGAAGGCCGTTGTAAACACAATGAAAATAATTGTAGGGCTTGACTCGGTGTGAAACTTCAAAAATATGTGAAGTTCAGAGGAGTCTGTGTAATTACTTATCCCTAAAGGAGCTGAAACATTTTGGGTATGTGGAGTTGCTTGTTTTTAATATTGCCAGTTATCCAAACTGGTTAATTTTGGTTGCAGTGTCCATTCAGAAGCAATCTTGTTTTATGCTTATGATGATCTCTATGTGATGTCAGTATTCTAAGCATTTCATGTACCAGCATGCTTTATTTGGCACCTCTATTAATGCTATTATTTTGTTGTTTTTACAGCGTGTTCTTCTTCTTGTTGCTTCAGATGTTGATGCATTATGTGCTTGTAAAATACTCCAAGTAAGTCTGGGTTCATTGTCGCTGCAGGCTGACAGCATGAGAAAATATGGATGCCCTGGGATGCTGTACATGGGTGTGAGCTGGGGAGAGGGGGAAGCTTTAATCTGCCTTTGTAGCCTTTGCTTCCATGAGTTATGGCACTGCAGACTGGTGATTCACAGCCTCAGAGCTCACACAGATTTGTCATTTGGGATGGGATGTCTTTATTTTAAGGGTTTGCGTGGAACAGTCACAGCCTGGTGTAGCATTGCAGAGACGCTGTTTCCCTGTTTCCCTGTTCCCCTCCCCTCTGCTCACAGCTGTTCCTTCCTTGCAGGCTTTGTTTCAGTGTGACCATGTGCAATACACACTCGTGCCAGTGGCTGGCTGGCAAGAGCTTGAAACTGCCTTTCTGGAGCATAAAGATCAGGTGAAAAATACTAGAAAATTTTTGAGCTGTAGCTCATCTTTTGTTAAGATAAACTGCTTCCCTTTCCCAATTTAAAATGTCAACACTTAGTCTCATTATTATTAGTGGTTTCTTAAAGCTGTGGTTACAATTTAACCCACCAGTAATAAACTTGTCAAGTTTTTAACATCACCTCCAAAAGATGTGCTATAATGTTGATAGAGTCAAATGAAGTTTGCACAAATTATGATATATAAAGGTGCTGGTATTGAATATCCAACATCCCTGAATTTCGGGATTTTTGAATTTTGTGTGCTTTGCCTTAAAAAAAATTTCTGCCTCAGAGACATCAAATATCAGAGAGTGAACACAAGTTTTGGCAATGATGACTGCTCTGTAGGTTTTGTAAATGTATTTTCAGTTTTCCATGTCTCCTGGCAATTTAAGTAATGAGCTGCTTCTTTTTTTTCTGGTTTTCATTGCAGTTCAAATACTTTGTTCTTATTAATTGTGGTGCCAATGTAGACCTCCTGGAAATCTTGCAGCCTGAAGAAGACACTTATTTTTTTGTATGTGACAGTCACAGACCAATTAATGTGGTGAATGTTTACAATGACACACAGGTAAAACTTTCCTTTCATAAAAACCTCCCCAGAATGTGGTGGTGAGCAGTGTAGTGCTTTTCTGTGTTTGCAAAACTGGTTAGAATGTTAGCTTGTAGGTCAGAAAGCAGCATTAATAAATAAATATTTGCAGTAGTAATGTACATGACCAGAAAAAATCCTTTTTCCAGTAGTGAAATGTCTAAAGTTAGCAATGTGACAGTTGTCAGTAGTAAGCGCCTGTTAATCTTTTTGCTGTAAATCAAACTGCCATAAATCAGAGGATAAACATCCCTTCAGAATCTGACATGTATTATTTCTCAACATCTAGCAGCACCTAGAATTTAAAGTATCAAGAACAAATTATTTTATTTTAAAAAGCATTAAAAGGATAATATTTTCAATAATGCTCTAACAAAGGAACATGAGTTTTTACTCTTTATTTTCAATAAATCAATGTGGTATTTGTATTAAAAACCAATGTTATGTTTTGTTATGCAAGAAATTAATACAGCCTAAATTAATTTTTAGTTTCTTTTCTAAGTAGGAATGCATTTTGCTCACTAAATAAGATACTTACTCTAAAGTACAGCTTTCTCCTTGCTAGATTAAGCTGTTGGTCAAGCAAGAGGATGATCTCGATGTTCCTGCTTACGATGACATCTTCAGAGATGAGGAGGAGGAGGAAGAGGAGGAAGAGGACTCAGAGAATGAAAGTGGTGGCTCAGAGCCCCTGGAGAAGCGCAGACGGTTTGAGGAGGTTTGTTCACTGCTCTGTTCTGAAAGGAAGAAAGAGAACTCTGCTATTACACATATTTGACATCATCATTATATTTGATTTAAAAGTTGTGTTCCATTAGGTCACAAATCCAAGGGCAAGATCTAAAAATAATCTACAACAACAGGTAGTTTCACATTAACAAAATATTTATTTATCTGAACTACACAGAAATATTTTCCCTAAATTTAAAAACAAACTGTTTGAACTTACTTATGCATAATTCTTTGTATAATCAGTGAACTGGAGAGATCCATCTCCTAACATGTGCTGTGGGCTTGGCAGTCTAGCAGTAGAACTTGTTTAGATATTGACTCCTTTTACAAAAAACCTGTTTGAGAAGATACAAGCTCACAAATAGTTGAGCAATGCATTTTATCTGTGCTTGTAGCAGTCAACTCACAAAAGTTTATTAAATGTGCACATGAAATTTAATTTGCCATGTTACTTGTAGCATATTTTCTATTTATATTACAAAAGCAAAAAAAGGCATGGGACCAGCAACATTAAGGGACAACTAAATATGAAGACAACCTTAGATTTAATAAATATTTCATGTTATCTTTGTTATCTTCCCATTAGCATTGCGCTTTTTTTTCCTAGTAATTTGAAAAGGCACTACCTTAGCCAAAGAAGCTATCCAATTCAAAAGAAAATTACAGATACACAAAAGCTTTTCTCAGATCTGTTAAATATTTCACAAAAATCTTATGTGTGCTCCTGGGCAATATTTTTGGTAATGCTTTTCTCATTACATATTATTAATGGCAAATTTTTTAAAGGAGAAGAAATATTTCTAAGGAAAATTTTAATTACATTTTTAAAATTAAAGTTTAATAAGTGAGGTATCTAGATGCTAATCTATTGGAATATTTTTTCTTGCTTTTTAACATCCTGGAAATTAATTTACAGGAGGTAATAGAGAGGACAATGAAAAGAAGACAAAGGAGAGAATGGGAAGCACGCAGGTGTGTAAATGGGTTTTTCTTATGTTGCTTCTTTATCTTTCATTTTTTATTAAAATCGTGTTAAGAATACAAACACAAGATAACAAACTGTGATTTGCAAGATGCTTTGGTTATAATTTTGTTTAGAAAGTTGAGAGAGATATTTAGTATATAAAGATAAACTTTAAATGGAGGAAATTGCAAATAGTAATTTAAAATTTGAGTACCAATGGGTGCATTGGCTCACTTCAAACAGCTGTAATATTCTTATCTTGTCTGTCCTGGGGTGAAATTTGTCCTTCTGTTTTCTACTTTTACAATCCCACTGTAGTCAATAGGAATGAGCAGGAACAAATCAGATAAAATGGGATTTGAGGAATAGTGATGTAATTATTTTTCCTTTTTGCTTTATGAGTACATTTCAGTGTGGTTTCCACATTATTACTAAAGTCTAATTGCCTTGCAGATAAACAATTTCTGGCCCAAGTTTAATATTTTAATGGCTTAAATGAAATTGAAATATTAATCACCATTTCTGGATTTTTTTTATTAATTTGTTGCAATGACCAGTTCCCCACTTAGTCAAATCTGATTTTTTTTCCATTTTAGACGAGAAATTCTTTTTGATTATGAGCAATATGAATACCATGGAACCTCGGTAAGTATAAACTCTGTTTGCCATAAAGCTTTAAGGTGTAAAAGTAATTGGGCAATATCCAATGTTATAATTATCTATTACAATTATATAATTGTCTAATAATACTATTCAATATAATAATATTATTGCATCTTGCATTTTTATATCTTATTGTTGTATATATATGATGCAGTGTATATATATATATATATATATATATATATAAGTAGTTTAACTTAGTCTAATGTTTTATGGCTTTTTTTTAGATCTTTGCAAGGGTAACTATCTATTTACAAAATACTGTCACAAAAAGGCTTGAGCATGTAGGGAGGTTGTTTTTTTTGTCTTTCAGAGTGTCAGGATATCCCAAACACAGCACTTAGGGCATCAAACCTTCTGTCATTTCACCTCTCTGTTTATTTATATTTAATTGTTTTATTTGTTTAATTGTTTGTTTAATTGTTAAACAACAAAACAATAAAAATTGTTAATGCTTTCTATATAATGCAGGTTTACAGAGCTCTCTAGAATATTTTTCTTTCTACTTCATCTCTTGGGAAGGAGCTGGCAGATTGTCAGACTGCAGGGTGATTGCTTGGGCTTTAGGGATGTGCTAGGCCTTGGCAGATTGAGCTGTTGTGTTTGTTTAGTGAGCTGTGTCTTGTGCTCATTTGTCTTTTTGCTTCTCCCTCCTGCAGTCTGCAATGGTGATGTTTGATCTGGCATGGATCATGTCTAAGGATTTGAATGACATGTTGTGGTAGGTTCCCATCATCATTTTCTGTAGAGATTGGAAGCTTAAACCTGCCACAAAGGCAGGCATGGTTTCCCAAAATTATTTTGTTTTTCTATGAGATTGCAGTTTCTTTTGGGGGTGGATACTTGTCTTCAAATAGAGGATGCATCTGTGTAAATTAATTAAAAACAACAACAGATTTTGCATGGAAAAAAGGAGATTGGTACTATATGTGTATGTCTGCAAAAGAGGGAATAATAAAGTAGATAACTTTGTTATTAACTTCTCTGTACTGCTGGTAAGCAATGCTTCTGATTTGCTCTATTACATACTTAGAGGGTTAAATATAATATACTCTACAGAATATTTGTATGTTTAACATTTTTTTTCTATTTCTTTTCTTCCAAAAACTTTAGGTGGGCTATTGTTGGCCTAACAGATCAGTGGGTCCAAGATAAAATCACGCAGTAAGAAAGTTTTTTTTTTAAGTTTATTCTTTTATTATTAATCTTTTATATTTATTTGTCTATCTTATAAAATTTTATTTTTGGGAGTAACTAGCAGCAATTAGTAGAGATCAGGAAACATAAGGGTATTATTATAACAGCTATAAGTAATTAACAGTGATATTAAATATATAATGTGATCTGTTGCCTTCCAAAGTTAGGAAGATATATATTTAAAAAATAATTTTCTGTAATTTAGAATTTTTAAGCTAACTTTGTTTTTCACAAAATTATAAATCAATCACTTCTAATCTGGGAGGAAATTGTGTTTAATGGTAGTTTACCATGAACTTGATACAGCTTTTTTAAAGGTAGAAACTTTTTGTGTGTGTTTTGTATCCTCAAGGTTCTTTTATGGTTTTAGATAACAAGTTTAAGATATTTTTTCCTCTTTTTTTATTTCCTACTAGATATGATCAGAATTCTAGCATTACATGTGCAGACTCAAATTCTCATGTTATATTGTTACTAATACATGAACATTTTCAAATAGATAAGTGTAATAGTATATTACACGTATCTTGTAATATGCTACAAGATATTTCTGATTTCTTTGGTCAGTCTATTGTTTGGTTTTGTAGTATTGTTTTGTTTTGGGTTTTTTGTGGTTTTCTTTTTGTTTTGGTTGTGGCTTTTTGGTGGGTTTCTTTTGTTTGGTTGGGGGTTTTGGTTCTTTAATTTTAATAGCCTGGGTAAAAAGAAGAATGTTGAAAAACAGTATTTAATGAGTTGAGAGGTTTTAAAAATCTATCTACAATTTTCATGCTGCAGACTTTAGGAAGCATTTTTATTTTCTTGTAACCAAGAAGAAAACTTTGCAGGCAGCAGGTGAGGCAGCAGTGTTTGTGTTGCAGGATGAAGTACGTGACGGACATCGGGGTCCTGCAGCGCCACGTCTCGCGCCACAACCACCGCAACGAGGACGAGGAGCATTCCCTGTCCATTGACTGCATGAGAATTGCATTTGAGTATGAGTATCCTTAAAGATGGTCTGGGCTGAACCCTCTGGAGTTTTTATCTAAGGGGGAAAAAAAATGCCAGCGCCATCTCTGCTTAGAGTGGAAATAAAATAAAGGGAAATGTTTTATAGTGGGTGAATCTCTGTTCCAGCTGCTCGTGGGGCTTCAGTTCAGTTTAACCTTTCAGAACCGCTTACAAGTCACCATTGCTACTCTTGGGTTACATCACCTGAGCTTCTCACTGCACTTTATGCAATATGTAAGGGCAGCTGAATCCTTTCCTGCTCATGGAGTTTGTAGGGTCAGGGGTTTTTGTGTTTGCAGTTATTTGCCTCAACTCCTGCTCAGCCTGCGCCTGGCACTGTACCAGCACTGGTCTCTCTATGAAAGTCTCTGCAACACCTGCTACACCTCTGCCAGCCTCAAGCTTTGGTCTGTGCAAGGGCAGAAGAGGCTCCAGGAGTTTTTAGCTGACATGGGGTGAGTTATAAAAATTTGGATTTTTTTTTTAATGACTTACAGGAAAATATTCAGAATATAGCTGGCACGTACTCAAGCTGTCAGCTTTTAAATATGATTGTGGGGCTCTGAATAGGTGGCAGTGTCTCTGAGTTACACAGCTTGTGTATTGGTTTACAAGGAGCATTTGCTCTATGCTTTTATGGAATGGCAGCTCAGTAAAGTAACCTCTGCTTCCTTGTATTCACTTTTCAATGACTGAAATAACAAATGCATGCAAGTTTAGCCAGACCTAACCTTGTTAAATCATCTAATAATTTTAAAAGTCCTATGAGAAAAAGGCAAAATATTTGTTTCTTCTGGCATACCTGTCTGAATTTTTTTCCTCCTGTTCTTAGTTTGCCCTTGAAACAAGTGAAACAGAAGTTTAATTCCATGGACGTGTCTTTGAAAGAAAATCTTCGGGAGATGATTGAAGAATCTGCAAACAAATTTGGGTAAATTGTTTTAAATACAAATGTTTTATCTGAACATACTTTTCAATTAAGTTCAAATATTTTTGTATGAAGATGATCTAATATGTTGTTTTTAAAAATATGATTCTTAGATTGACAAAGTAACACTGGATTTGTTGCAAATGTTAGCATAAGGTTTTTCTTCATGTGCTTAAGATTAACAAACTGGGGAGACAGCTGGTCACTGTTGATAATGTTAATGAACTTTTCTGGTTTATTTCATTTTGCAGAATGAAAGATTTGCGAGTTCAGACTTTCAGCATTCACTTTGGCTTTAAGAACAAGTTCTCAGCAAGTGACATAGTTTATGCAACAACTTCTCTCATGGAGAACATAGAGAAAGAGGGGCCTGAAACAACTAATTTCATTAAGGCTTTGGACAGTCTCTCCAGGTACTGAAAAAAATGCTTCAGTATTTTGCAATTTTATTTAGGGAAATGTATTGGGATTATGGATCTAAAGTATGAATTTTTGCTTCATAAGCTATTGAAGAAAAATATTAAAATATCCCTGTGAATAGTATTTTGATATAATTTTTATGTCAAAAACTTTTTTGTACTAAGGAAGTCTATTTTTATTCTTTTTGTGGCAGGGGTAACCTGGACAAGCTGCACCAAGGACTGGACCTGGCCAAAAAGCAGCTACGTGCCATTCAGCAGACAGTGGCCAGCTGTATTTGCACCAACCTTGTCATTTCCCAGGGGCCTTTTCTTTATTGCTCCCTCATGGAGGTCAGAATTGTGTGTTTGGGCTCTCATTTTGAGACTCCTTTTTGGCTGTATCATCCTTGAATAACAGTTGCCCTAAGTGCTTGGCCCAGCAAGAATGACTCTGTAAGAAAGAACCAATATCTCTGGACAGTGCTGTCCTCTGATGGGTCAATATTGACATTGCTGGGAGCTCCCAAAGGCAGAATCACCCCTCATAAAGGGGAGAGGGCTTTGCTGCAGAGCTGGGTGAGCTCAACCTGCATTGAAATGGTTCTTGTTGGTGTTCTTTGAGCCACACACAGCTTCTAGACTTGTTAGTGGACAATAAAACTAAGTAAGAGTAAGAATCATCTTGGGCTGTAATTAAAATAATTCTTCTTTTCCTAGGGCACACCAGATGTGAAACTGTTCTCCAAACCAGTGTCTCTATGTCTGCTGAGTAAATACTTACTGAAATCCTTTGTTTGCTCTGTAAGTAAATCAAAAGCATTTGACTCACAAACTTCTGGCTGGTGTAGTACTAATTGTGCTGTCAGATACTTGCAGTTGATTATTAAAAACATTAGAGGAAACTATTAATTATGTTTTTCTGCTGATTGATTGGATGATTTTAGCATATTTGTGAATGCTGCTCTAGGGAAGACAGCTATTTGGAGACTTCATAGCATTGAGTTTTCATTACTAAGATAATAACAATCTAAACATTTGTGTAATTTTGTAAGTTTTTAGAGAGTACACAACTGAAATTTCTTTTAGTCCTTAAAGTAACTTTTACTGTAAGGAACAGTGAATTAAGATATCCTGTAAAGAAAACACATTCTTTGAACTGCAGAATGTGTATCCTTAGGTGGCTATTTGTAATGCTATCTCCCATGGAGAGCTGATATCCAATTGCTTTCTGACCTTGTGTAACACAGAGATTTTCTGACTTCCAGACAAAAAACAAGCGCTGCAAGCTGCTGCCCCTGGTCATGGCTGCACCCATGGACGTGGAACAGGGAACTGTGATCATGGTGGGGATTCCTCCAGAGACGGAAAGCTCAGACAAAAAGAAGTAAGAAAAGTGTTTACAAGTTCTAAACCTGTCTCTGAAGCAAATACATCTTTCCTGTACTATTTAACATTGATTGTGTTGACTTTAATTGTATCCTTCTCAAAAACACACATTCTGCATACTGTGTGCATGGGGCACTTTGAGAGAGGATACAGATCTTCAAGCAGAATCTTGCAATCCTTGCAAGGTTTTTCTTTTCCTTCCGTCTTAAAAGAGGGAAATAGTTGACTACACGGCCCATGACTTCATTTCTAAAAGCCTCCAATGTAAAAACTTTTGCAAGCGAATAAGCGAGGTGTGTGTTGAATACACAGCACCTGTAAAAACATCTGGAATCCATTTCCACCTCTCAGCCAGGAGAAAGTTCCTTGCTTCTACCTCAGTAAACATCCTTTTCCCGTGACACTCATCCCTATTTCTGCTCCTGCCTCAGCTTTTTTGGAAGAGCCTTCGAGAAGGCTGCGGAGAGCACGAGCTCCCGGACGCTGCACAACCACTTCCAGATGTCCAGTGAGTAGCGGGGCCCGCAGGGGGCGGTGCTGGCGC